TCACAGTGATTCTCAGATTCCTCAGACGTTCCTTATAATGTTCCCACAATGAGGCTGTTTCTTCATCACATACAACATCTTCCAATTTCACAAGTCTTAGCACAGAATTGGGAAGCTCAGTAAACCCCAAGCGGCTACCCATGCAGATAGTCCGTAAAGAACAGAGTTGATCCATTTCTGTTGGCAGGAAATCCAGTTCCACACAATCATATACATCAAGAAATCCCAATCTATTAAGTTTTACTACTGACATTGGCAACTCGGACAATTTTGTACAAGAATGAAGCCTCAGTACTTCCAAATTTGTCAACTTTCCAAGCTCTTCGGGAAGGGAAACTAATTCGTGACAATAACAAATGCTGAGCTTTTTAAGATCAACAAGATCACATATTTCAGTTGGTACTTCCACTAAATCATTGCAGTACTCTATATTCATCTCTACAAGTTTTGGCCATATGTAAAACATATTGGCAGCAGAGTTTTCAAATGCCTCACCAATTTCACACATGATGAAGGAGATTTTCCGCAAATTTGGCAGCTGCAAGTTGGCTGTAAAAATGGACGTAACAGAGAGGCGTTCCAGGCTGATTCTCTTAAGATTGAGCAGAGAACAAAGCTGAAAGTTATTTAATTTGGCTGGGAAGAAACAATTGTTTGTCACAATCAAAGTTTTCAATTGGCTCATTTGCTCTACAAAAGGTGGTAAGTTGTAGGTCTTTGTTTCAAAGTTCAACACAAGTACTTCAACTTTAGGAAATTGCATGTCATACCAGTCAGACACGAAGTCTTCATCTGCAATTCAGATTCATGAAGTTGTAACTAACTAGCTGAGGCAAGATTTAGCAAGTTTGCAAAAGACATTTCTATTCTTGCCCTAAAAAGGAGCACAAGGGATGGATAACAAACCTGTGAATATAGACAAAACTTCCGCCTGAAGTGGTTGAAGTCTTTGTTGAGACCACCACTTAGGAAAGTCATTCCCCTTGATGTTGATATATAGTCTCTTTCTCTCTTCTACTGTCTCCTTATCACACTGGTGGATAACCAGTTCTCTCAGCAGATCATGCTGCTGTATGTAATGCAAGTTATGTAATCCAAGAACTGCTGGTGCATCCTTTCTGGAAATCAGCACGACCTAAACAATTAGATATTGGATAAATAATCCATTCAAGGATATCTGCTAACGTAAGGTCAATCAGTGGATGCAGAGAAGAAGTTGAGTATACACCAAAAAGATGGAACCAGGATAAAATGAAGCCAGCCGCTGCACTATTCTACAAGCTGAACTGTATGAGTTCAACTCAGTTCCAATTCTTCTTTATCTCATGAAATTTAGTAATTTTGTCCAAAACAATTTAGAAAGTGGAAAAGAATTTTTGATGACTTCAGCACATTAAACATTGAGGCACACAAACAGATAGTCAGCGAGTGTGTACATGTGACCATCTAACACTACAGCTTTGTAGTTTCTCTTGACCTTTTCCCCTATAACTAAAAATCTTCTAGTTCAGTTCCATGCAGTAATTACACGTAGAAGTAGCAAATACGGTAGAGTTTCAAGACAAAAGTGATACCTTGCAAGGGCGAGATTAACCAGATTTTGTGAAGAGAGTTGAAAGAAGATTGCCATTGCCTTCATGCCATCTTCATCTAAATTGTATCGTTCCACCCACATATCCAGAAGTGCAGCAGCATGAATTCTGTGGTCTTCAGGAAATGACCCTAGATCCAGGTAAAAGTCTCTTAATGTAGTTGCTTCACTGCTATATAGATCTATTTCATTCAATGCATCAATGCTAGTTCGCAGAGTGCGAAGCAGATCATTCTCGGTAGGAAAGAGAATGTGTCTTTTAGACTGCAACATCACTCTGTTAAACCATATCAACTCAGGCTGTCCACACAATGATCGGCCAACAACTTTAAGAGCAAGTGGAAAACCACAACAGCTTCTCACCACCTGCCATTGTATACCATCAGTTAGCACCATGTAAAAGTACTTTGATATTACTACACAAAGTAGACAACTTTATAAGTAACTATGAATTTGGGCAGATTTTGTTTAGAACATCACACCTCTATTATTTAGCTAAGACGCATTTTCTACTCTTTAATATTTCAAGCACATGAACAATAGCAATTTATATATATTTCACATGTTTTGATAACCAAATAATTATTTGAAAAGACCTTTTTAAACATAGATAGTGTTTTACCTTATGAACAAGATCAAGTCGCACATTAGGGATGCTATCTTTAAATGCTGAACTATAGAAAAGAGCCTTTGCATCCTTCTCGCTCAAAAGCTTTAATTTATATGTATCAAATTTTGGGAACACAAATCTTGAGGTGACCAAAATCTTAAATCCATGTATCTGAAACATAAAACTCTCAATGACAAACTCTGATTCAGACCAAACATCGTCCAGCACCAGCAGTACAGGTTGAGATGTATTTCTCCTTAGGAGGTTTTCAAGTTGGCCGATGGCACCATGTTCAGAAGCAAAGTCTGTCACCTTGTAACCTTTCGTCTCAAAGATTTCCCCTACAATGCGTCTGATGCTTGCTTTTTCAGAAACAGTGACAAAAAGGATGTCCCTGTATTTGGCTGTTAAGAGACAATTAGATCAAATTATGCTGAAAGCCTGAAAGTTCAGCAACAGGAATTTTTTTTAGAAGGCAAGAAGCTTAATATAACACAAGTACATGATGCAACATTACTTGTCAACTACTCTTGCCATAAGTAGAGCAATCTGTATAGACAATAACTTGATTCAAGCGGTTGCTACTCAATCATAAAAATAAAATATATACGTCGAAATTCAACTGATAAACAGACAGATTAGTATTGATTACAAAATCGATGCAGGTAGCATTTAAATTCATGCGCTTTGGTAAGAGAATTAGCTAACTGAACTTACAAAGGAAAGCAAGAAGTCCTTCTAAAGGATATAATGGAATTATTGTATAAGAAAAAAAACCAAATTCACAACTACATGGAATCACAATGTAAGATTAACATTTTACATGATAAAATGCAAATAAACTAATAATCAAGAGTCCACTTGAACTAATTGACATCAGACATATTATGAAACGAGTTTAATTTCTACTATGCACTAACAGTGTAAGGTCACTTAAAAAGGTAACTAGAATTAACAAATCAAAAGAAGTGAGATTAATAACCTGGAAAATAAGGCAGGTAACCAGCTCCAACAGATTAAAATACACTAATAATGTAAAATTGTCTTACACTGTCAGTGCATATATGCTAAATCATTATCCAATACCTTTGATATCATGCTCTCGACAAACCATTGCCGCCAAAGTAGTCTTTCCACAGCCAGCAGGAGCAGAAAGAACCACCACCTGCTCTTTCTCCTCAAGCAGCTTTACTTTCAATTCTTGAAGTGGCAAATCAAATCCAACCACAGCATCTGAAACTTGTGGCTCGTCAGACCAACCTGAAAATCCATTCCCATTTGTGCTACCAAAACTATTACCATTCATCCACCCTGAAGACCCATTAGAGTTTGTAAATCCAATACTACTCCCATTTCTCAACGAAATAGCTCTCAACATGGAGCTAATCTGATCCAATTTCTTACCATGTTCAATCACATTGACAAGAATAATTTTACTATCTCTACACACCTGAATAAAACCATGAACCTGGCAAAACCTAACCAGTGAATTTTCTAACTTGGTCAATTTCCTCGAGTAGTTCCATTTTTTCAAAGCGTCGTAGCATTTAGTCTTGGAACACTTACGGACTAGTTCTTCACCTGCCAATAGCTGCTTCTTGAACATTTCTATTTCGTAATCTCGGCCGTCTAGTGCTTTGTTTAGCCTCTCGATATCATCGAATACTGGTTTGATCTCATTTAGTGTGTTGTTTAAGCTTTGGAATTTGGAACGGAAAGTGGCAATTTTTATGCCAACATCAATAACGGCTTTGAGTAGCATGTCGAAGACTGGACCCAAAGCAGCTCCTCCCAACAGAGTTGCGGCCATTGCTACATCCCCAAACTGGCCTAATTTAGGAAAGTTGTGCTCTCCACGAAAGTGTGAGCCTAAGAGTTAAGCACTGGGATGCTGAGAAGATACTATGCCCAGAGCTCGCAATTGGCTGGAAATTTCGTCCTCAATTTGTTTGTTGACTTTTGCGAAGTTACCGTCTCTATCCCACTCCCACTCGTATAGTGAAGTTACCGAGTAAGCTGTGAGTTTGATTTAACGCAAATTTCAGGACTTTTTCTTTCGGACAAGTGTACATAGTAATAGCACCTGTAATTAGAGTACAATAATTTTCATCAAACTAGTTTCATTTGGCAGGATGTGACACTCTTTTTTTTTTTTTTAATTTATTCCAAAAAGAGTTATTTTTTTTATATTTAAAAAAATTATTTGTTTTAAACTTAAATAACGTCACATGTTCAACAATTGTGTTAGAGTTGAAACCGAGTGTTAATTTACAACGTCTTTATCGATACGGAGAACTTAGTTTACATAATCCGGAAAATAAAAATTGAATAGGAGCTGGTTTTAGAGATCTTCAGCGTTAATAGAAGCAAAACTAACGCGATTGAACCCGACGTGAATCGAACACGCAACCTTCTGATCTGGAGTCAGACGCGCTACCATTGCGCCACGGATCCACCATGTAACATTTTCCTATTAAGTTTATTATATTTACTCTCTACATCATCAACATTACTTCCGGAACCCAACATACTCATCCAGAAGATAATTTATATCATTTGTATATATATATATACCTAATTACAACATATGTAAACTGAAAGATTCAAATTCATACAAAAATCACATTCACTTTATTACTACCGAACACAGTTTTTTTAAAAAAAAAAAAATTGGAACCAGTGACTACTCCATTTTCTTCCTTTTCTTCTCCTGCATCCTGTTCTTCATTTCCTGCAGCTTGTTCTTCATTTCCTGCAGCTTCAGCACCACCGTGGCATAACATCTTTGATACCTCACTCTTACTTTCTGCCCCCACTCCTTAATCTTNCCACCGAGATCAACCCCAAAGAAGCTACAGTTCCGGCAAAAACGAACCACTCTTTCTCGGCACTCACGCTAAATATTAATCGCATGCATTTTTCCACACATTCCCGGATTTTTGTCCCCATTGCCTTAGCTGATTCTTCGCTTATATACATCGCTGACATGTCCACTTGCTCTCTGCAGAAACAATAGCCACAATAATATAGCTACGCGTGTTCAAAGCTAAGACAGAGAACACAGGCAAATAACGATAGATATGATTGCTTACTTCCCCAAGAGCCTATGTATGTTACCCCAGAAAAAGAGAAACGCGATCGCTAACATGGACATCCAGGAAAAGAGAGTCACGAATTTCAATTCATAGACTTCAAGCGCTAGCCATATCGCTGTAGCTGCTAAAAGTGTTAGAACACTCAAATTCTTTCTCCTCCATAAAATTACATCGCTGACTAAATCTGAAAAGTATAGTAAAATACATGTATCAGTAACTTTGCCCAAAGAGCCAAGGTGAAGAAGGACAAATCTATTAAGGCGAGTGGGTTGTGAAGGAGAAATGAGACTAACCTGTATTGTTGCCAACATCACGAGTTGGTGGTGAAGGGGTTGGAGACTCTGTTGAAGTAGTGTGCACATTGGATGCTGCAAATAAAGCAAAAATTATAGATAGAAATGGAGATAAGAAGGGAATCTTTCACTGGAGGCTGTGAATGAGATGGAGAAATTAACCTGATTTGTTGCGAATTTCACGAGTTGGTGAAGGTGGTGGAGAATCTGTTGAACTCTGCATATTGAAGGCTGCAAACAAAGCAAGAAAATATAGACAAAAGAAAAGGGACTCAAAAGTTTCGAGTACTTTGTAAGAGCAATTTGAGATAGGTATTGTGTTCAGCTGAGAAATGTGAAGGACAACAAAGAGTGTAGAACAACTGAGCAGGTCATTCGAGATAAACACATGGCGCTCAATTAGACGAAACGTGGATCGAAACCACGCAGGGTCGCGCCACGATGTAATATAATGATCGTCATCTAAATGGGCTGCTTGTAATTAAAAGGATTAGAACCCGTTTGAATTAGCTGACAAGCATTAGGTGCTGAAAAGTAGTTGAAACTGATTTAATAAATAAGCAGTTATGCGTTTGGGTATAAGTGCTGAAATTGATAATAAGTTGCTTAAGTATTTGATAAAAAAAATACTGATAAGCTCTTTTTCTGTTAAAATGACTTAAATAACCTTAGAACTGTTTACACTTATAAGAGCGTAATTTCTTCAAAATTTTAGATTCTAGATCGATTTAAATACAAAATATTCTATTTGTCATTTTATTTTAAATATAACTGTGCTTAGATAAGATAATTTTACTGATAAATATAATTTATTTTATGATAAGCATATAATCATAAGTTATAATAATTAATAAATTAACAAACGTTTCTCAGTAAAAATAAATCTAAATAGGATAAAATATTTGAAGAGAAACAAAGATCGTCTTCATCACCACAACACTTAGAAAGCAATATGCCAAAAATTTGATATGTCGTCATTTATTACATATAGTTCAAAGATTAATACACAATCACATAGATATAAATATGCAAAGGAATAGAGAATTTGCTTATCTTAGATAGTCAATGAGAATTGCAGACTTGAAGAGGCGGGGGGAGGGGATTTAGATTGAATACTTGAGGCAGTGAGTATCAGTGCAAGAGTTTTGTTCTAAAAAGGAATATTTTAAGGATAAAATAGTAAAAATGTTGGTCAAACTTAAAGTGCTTATAAGCTAAAAATTCATAAGCTGAGTGTGACCAACTTATGGCTTTTGGCTTATTTTTGACTCATAAGCACTTGGCTTATAAGCACTTTTAACTTTACCAAACGCGTAGATAGCCGAAAAGTGCTTATAAGCTAGTTTGACCAGCTTATAAACTTAACCAAACACCCTCTTAGTTACCTCCTATTGCAAAGGTTAGGTTGATACCTTATTTATTTTAAATAAATATCCTTTTAAAAAATTATATTCCATAACTACCTTTTGTTTTTTTATAGCCAAATATGTATTTATGGTAACCTCCTACCCTTAAGTCATAAAATAAGCTTTGTATTATTTTTCTCTCTTATATCCCCTCAAATTTCTCCTATCCCCTATCCCATATCTATTTTCCCTCTCTCTCTCTCCTTCCCGATCTCATATCTTATTTTCTTCTTCTTGTACAATTTCAACAATTGGCAGTGCCTCTATCGAAGCCTTTCCAAAGATTTATTATCAAAAGGGGAAACAAATCCAGCGACGTCTTGCTTCCCAAATCTTTCGGGTGGCAGTTATAGCAAAATATATTCGAGATTGGAGCACCTGTGTATGAACTTCCAACATATTATGATGGACCAGTGTATTATACTGGAACTCCAAAATATTATACTGAAAGTCTAGTATATTATACTAGAACTCCAGTATAATATATTGAAATACCTGTATAATTATACTAAAGCTACAATATATTATACTGGAACTTCAGTATATTATACTGGAACTCCAGTATATTATTGTATACGGTCGTAATCAAGTAGGCTCGATTTCGTGGACTCGAGGGTTACTTAGAGAGCAAGATCAAAATATACCAGACGCGAGTCCGGTGGCAAAATAGAAGCTTCGAAGGTCGAAGTGCTCGATGTGCACCGAGGCCGATTATGCCTAACCACGAGATGATGTCGTCATGGTTTTGTAATAGAAAGTGCAAGATTCTCGCAACGTCCCTAAGATCACGACATGAATTCCGGAATAGATTTGTACGGGTTTGTACAAAATTGTACTAGGCGGTTAGACATGTGTCCCAATAAGATTCCCTACTAAAAATGAAAATGTACCTAGCTAAAGACTCCCTATTATATAAAGGGGAGCCCATTCATTTGTAAGATCATCAATCATTGGCAAAAGAATATACATTCTTACTTTCTTGCTCATTACTCATCACAATTATCTTTTTATTTTATTGTTCTTACTGGCCTACCTCGAGGTCACCTTAGCTCGAGGTCGAGACTTGCTTGCACACTGGTTTGATTCAACTTGCTTCCTTAATCTATATGCTTGATTTCTTGATTATCAATTAGTATTGGACTAAATCACGTATCTTAAAGACCTCAATACAAATTTAATTGTTACTCGAATTTAGGGATAAGAAATGGGCGGATAACTTATTATAATCTTTTGGATAACCTTGAAAATATGGCAGCAAAATGTTGCAATTAATATGACTCTTACAAGTCTTGCAAGATGTTATATTTTGGTCAAGTAAAGTGGCTTAGTCACCACTTGAAGTAGGCCCACACCCATTCAAACACACTTAAGAGATGTGTGACCAATTTACTTCATTTGGTCTCTTAGATTTTCAAGAGATTCAAGTAAATAGTTCTTTCCATTAAGAACTCGCGTTAGACCTCATGAATGAAATTATAACATTTTCCTACTCCAATACTAAATAACACATGATGAATCACTTAGTAGGCATTGGATTTGTGTTACTGTTGTGAGATTTTGCAATTATAAGGGAATATGGTGAAATCTTTCTCAAGAAAATCGGTTCAGGTATGTTAAGGCTATCCCTTCTTTCTTTTGGCATGATCCATACGGCACAAACGAAACATGCAAATGCACAACTTCCACAAATGACTCTATTCATAGAAGTATTAGAAATGCCTGCATTCTTGAATTCCCATGTGTCCTATTATTTTATCCTCTGTTCATGAGTCTCAGAAAAATACGTAAGTTGAAAAAGTTTACTTCATGATATTACTCAAAGAATAATTGTCTTATGACATTCCGAAAGATTTTATTAACGTACTTCACATGCATTGCATTCATGTACATTGACTCATGACCAGATGGCGTTATATACGCATATATATGTATATTATATGTATATGAGATATGGAAAAAGGCTACGGCGTTATATACGCACAACCACCTGATCAACTGGTATATGTTGATGATTTTGCCCATAGTGGCCGAGATGATATGATGGGATGCCCTCAGAGGCTGATGATGTTATGAAACATGTACCTATGCACGACATGATATTCATACGCATATGCATGACACTATAAGTATTTCATAATTTACAAAGTTTTCCAGACTTACAGGTTGAGTTATTTACTCTATATTTCTTCCATGTCTGTTATGTACTTATTTATATGCCTTACATACTCGGTACACTATTCATAATGACGTCCCTTTTGCCTGGGGATGCTGCGTTTCATGCCCGCAGGTCCCGATAGACAGGTCGAGAGCCCTCCAAATAGGCTATCAGCTCAGCGGAAGATGTTGGTGCGCTCCATTTGCTTGGAAGTTACTTGTTTAGTTAGTATGATTTAGGTGTGTATTGTTTAGTATGGCGGAGCCCTGTCCCGTCCTTTATGTTAAGTATGTACTCTTCGAGGCTTGTAGACAGATGTCATATATACAAATGTTTTATGGCCTTGCCTTCCTATATTTTGAGTTTACAAATAATCATGTTGGCTCTATAGGCCCGTATATTACATGTATAACCTTTTATATCAGGTCAGTTCGTCCTATATTGGATAATCCCCTATGTTTATTCTTGTCAATGAAAGTACAATAAGAAAGATACGTTATGTTGGTACTCAGTTGTGTAAGGTATCGGGTGCCCGTCGCAGCCCATCGATATTGTTGATACCCAATTTTTCATATATTATTTTTCAAAATGCATATATATATTCAAAACTATGCATTAGCATCAAATGATATTTTTTCCATAATTTCTACATTTTAAAATTAATTTATCCCAGTATTTTATTTATGTAAACAATTACAAAATTGCATCACAAATGACTTCACAACATTTCTTGATTTAATTTTACTATTTATAGTCATATTAAGTTTAAATTATTTCACAAATGGCCAAATTTATACTTTTTGGTTATAATTGCAACAACTTTGCAATTATAGCCCAAGCATATATTATTGCATTATTTTACCAGAAAATGGTCCATTGTATTTTTAAAATATCGAATAATTATTTCTATGCATGAAAATTATTTTTATAATTTGTTATTTATTTTATAAATTAATTTTACTCAATTATCTGAGTATTTAATAAATAGCCCCTTTTGTTTTCAGACTTAACCCAAAAAACCTAGACCTTAAGTGGTCATCCCTGCCTTATTTGATTGCCCGTATAATTGTGGATTCTTACTGATTCCTTTACATGGTATGATTGGGATTCTTTCCTTAATTAGACCCCTGTTATTATTGTTTGATCAATTACCCCTAATTAAGGGGTCTATTCTGAACTCCTTTATGTGATTGGATTTTGTGATCCTATGATTTCCTTAATTGACTGAATGTTGATTCCTTTACCTTATTTTGTTTTACTCTTAAACTGCTATATATACACTCTTGTTTTACCTCTCAACACACAAACACTTAGTTCAGAATACACATATACACACACACACACACACTTAAACTCTCTCTTTTTTCTCTGCTACTTGTGCTAACTATTGGTCTACCCAGCTGAAAGCCAAGGCTAGACAGTGGCATTATACTTGCTTTACATTCTGCACTTTGCCTCTTTAAACTGGTATGTCCCTAGTTCAATTCTGAAACTCAAACTCTGTGTGTTCCATGTCTATAAATCTATTCTTGCACTAGTTCGATTGGCAATGTATTCAATTTATCTTCTTGTTTACTGCTTTATTCAGCATGTCTAAATTCTATCTTCTCTTGTTCAAACGTGTAATCAACATGTCTAGGTCTCACTTTCTTGTTGGATACTTGGCTAGCATGTTTATTAGTCTTTGTTTACTCCTTTCAATTGGTGTGATTATGTCAGTAACTTAGTCTCTTAATGTACTTGATTGACCCTAATTATATGGCTAATCCTAT